ACGCGACGCCGATCTTGAAAATGAAAAAGTCCGAGACATCGAAACAGACGCCCGGATGATTATTTGAACGGTGGAAATAATTCGCAAGAACAAGAGGAAGAGTTGCTGCAGTACTTTCAACAGAGTAATTCGTCTAGTTCTGACGTGGAGACCAGCGTCATCGGTTCCGATGCTGAACAAATTTCTCATTCGGACAAGGTATCACAATTACGACTGATATTACAACAGAATTTGAAGGCATCTGCTATCGCTACTAATGTAACGCCTACGACTATCATTCGACAGAGCGTCGTTGCCGCGGATAAGCGAGACTCCACGCAGAAATGCAATAACAATCTTATCCTTTCGACTCTACTGAATCATAATCCGAGCAATACTCGTCGTGTCAGCTTCGAGACGAACGTCATCGAGCATACCACCCAGGAGGCAGCAGCGCCGAGTGTAGTAGCCAATACTGTACCGCAAAGTCCAAATACGCGGCGCAGGATATTCAACTTTACTCCGATCTCACCTGGACCGCACTCCCCGATCAATGGCCGGGCATCCAAATCCAATTCGGCGAACGCCAGCCCATTCGTCTCTCCGCGTAACACTCCGGTACCAAGGTCACGCAGTAACCTGCAGGCTGGCAGTTCCAGATCGCGCGGTCAGAAGACCTTTTCACGTTCCATCTCATGCAGTGTTCCGTACACTATCAAAACAACGGACACCTTTATTGTACCGACATCTAGCGGAGCGGAACCTACGCGCCATGTGCTTACAATTGCAACGACCGATTCGTCAGAGGTGAGATGGAAAGCATGTACAAATTAGCTCGAGCATGCGGTTGGATCTTGGTATTTTTCGATATATCGATTTTTCATATCTTTGGGTATTTTTTAAACGTTTTTAATGTTATTTATATAGGTTATTTATAAGGTGTTTAGTTATTTGTAAATACAAGGTGTTTCAAAAAGATGGACAATTTCAAATCTCTACATTTCTGGAACCACAAACCGCCCATAAATGAAATTGTTATTACTTGACAGGAAGGATCAAATGATCGCTAGATACTCCCAGCGCACTATTAAAGTTATTAGTTTTATAAAGTATCACAATCCATTGTCTCATGGAGGCAACATGGAGTAATTCACAAGCAATTTGAAATTGGTCCATCTTTTTGAAACACCCTGTATTTTATAAAAATGTTTTCCAACGCAGGTCGTTCTAAAGGGCTCGCCATGCACCGCATTTTTGGACCTAACACCGCAGAAACAATTATTGATCAATTATCCGAGCCAGGAAAATCTACAAGAGATCAAGAATGTGTATCAGAAGGAACCACCTCCACCCGATCAGGAGATCACGGAGCTTCTTCATGCCGGCAGGCACTTGAATAACGAGCAGTTATTCTACAGATCGCAATCGGTACCGTTGCATAGGATGGTGAATCCAATGCAGTCCGTAATATCCCCAATCTCGACTCAACACCTATCGACGGTGCAGAGTCAAAGCTTTAACCCATCGACGAGCAGCTCCGTCGCGCCTACCCCGTACCAAGCGAATACAACGACTTCGGTTCTTCCATCGGACAAGAGAGCACGTACTTACTGGACGACGCGAACTTCATGTCGGACGAGCAGCAATTTTTAATGACGGACAAAGGGATCACGTCGGAGAATATTAATAACATCCTTACAATTTTGGATGAGGAGGAGGGCCAATCGAATTTGCAAATATTGCAGACCGAACAGACCACGGAGGAGACTCTGAACAACGCGATCGACCTCGCTTTACCGAATACCAATCTAAATCTGTCGCAGGAAGACATGTTGGATCCGTCGAGTATCCTCAGCGATCCCGGCGGCGCGTTGCAGAAGATAATCCAATCACGCTCGTATCCCAACACGCCATTGCCGGCTCCGGTGTCTTCGTACACGCCGTCGTACATCGAGGACAGCAACGGTTCCAGGTCGTACCCGTCGACGCCGCTGCACACGGTGCAACCCCAGGAGGTGTACCAAGATCCGAGCAACTCGATGCTATCCAACCCCATTCTGAATTCTCTCAGTTTGCAGAGCGACGCGATCAACGTTGCTGTTTCTACCGTCACTGGCGTCACCGCCTGCACTAATGTCGACACTGCCGCAACCGCTTCTTCCAACAATCTGTGCAGGAACGTCGCCGATCTCTTGGAGGCCAGTTTCCTCGGGGAGACTGATCCTGAGACGGATGATCTGGACCCCCTCGGTAATTTCGACGGCCTGCAGGATATGGACTCGTTGACGCCGTTGTTCAACGAAGTCACGGAGCCTAATCGCTGAATGAAACTCTGTTTTCTTTCATCTCTCTGTATCTTCGTAATTTTTGCATTCGCACAGGGGAGAAGTGTAATAAACTATATAGACTGTTTTTTGGGTCCGATGGTTTTTAATCGTATTATTTATATAGATCATTTTAGAGTGAATGAGAAAGAAGATTACACAAGAGTAAGATGTATAAGTAAAATTTTATTAGTAAATATAATTAAATATTATTCAGTTTTAAGAATGTAGAATATATATACATACTTCGAATTTTCTGTATCTATCGCGACATTGTAATTTGATCATATAACAGTTATATTTTAATTATTTTTTATTACAAATTTTTATGTATATATAGATTTTTTATTAGGAAGGAAATTATTTCAGCTTATAGTTAATTATATTTCAACATGCAATTTACTATGCGGACTGTATATCGTCGATTGTTTAATCTTTATCTCAATAAAAATAGTATTGAATATTGTTCGAACTTTCCGAAAAACTTTGAAAAACTAGCGAGATTTTTTTTTAATTCATGTTTATAAATTATTAAAAATTATACGATTTTAAGTATACATATATTATTAAAGAAAAATGCTTGTGTTTTCCATGAAATTTGTTTTATTCCTCAGTCAAAACTTTTTTGTAGAAAATTATAATCACAGTATATACAATTTTAAAATTTGTATTTTATTCTGAATATATTAAACACTTTATGCTATTCAATAAATGTAACTTGAAATACACATGTATGTATATATTTGGGTTTTACGTTTCAAACATTTCGATGATAATTAGAATTAAAATTGTACATTTTTTAGAGAAACACTAAGTTACTTAATTCAACAAAAAATGCAATAAAATTATTTATCGTACATTTCTTAATCCGTTCTTTAGAATACATTTTTCTATAAAAGTGATACCAGAAAAAGCGCCAAGTGAAAATAAAAAAATCATATAATATAAAATTTAATTCTTATTTCCTACAAAATATCCCATTTCAAAAATCGCGCTCAAATTTTTTTCAAAAAAAATGTATTTCCTAAAAAAAAAAAAAGTAAAAATACAATAGAAAAATAATACAAAATCAACTAATTTATACCAGTGTTCAAGCTCGTATGTAAACAAACACAATGATAACTTATTAGTAAGTAAGTTATCAAAAGTAAAAATTTTCGGAGATTTGTATATAAAAATGGAATCCTATTAACGCGCGTAATTTACGTTACTATATTTACTATATATTGTATAAATATATATTATAGGCATGTCAAAAAATTTTAGTCTTGAAATTAAGTTAAAATATACATCTTTAAAAAAATTGAGATTTTCCGAGTGGTTGGTCACTAGTAGTTATATAATGTAAAAAAATTACCTTTGATATGGATTACCTTCAAGGATATATGAAAGATATCTAAAAATGGTATAAAATTTATATAAATTATTTAGATTTGCTTTTACTTTGATACTAAATAAAGCTACTGTTAATATGGTTTTTATTAATTCACTAACTCATTTAAAAGTTATTGCAATTTAAATTTCTGCTACTTTTATATATATAATAAGTATAATCTTATTATATGCATAATCTTAGAATTCGTTATTTTGATTGATTACATTAAAAATATCAAAAAGTAATACTATGTATTTAAATTTTTTTACATGTATAACTGAACTTTCAAGAACAATATGTTGCAAAATTACATTAACATTCACTAAACCATTTAGAAGAAAATAATAGTAATAACAATATTTTAATAAGAATTAAAATAATAATTTGTTGAAATTCTGACTTTCTTTCCGTCTTCTGAGCATTCAGTGTCAACACTGAAAATAGCTAAAAGTTGGAATATAAAACTATAGGTTTTTTATTACTGTACTGATGAACTTAGTGCACACTAGTGCAATAAGTTAAAGTGAGATACGTATATTTTGTTCACTCTAACTTATTGCACTAGTGTGTACTAGTTCATCAGTGCAGCAATAAAGAACAAACCCATAATATAACGATTTTATATAAGATGAATAGATTTTCCATAAGATATTCATCTTATATATATTAGTAGAATAGCATTGATATATTAGTAGAATAATGAATCTCCTTTTTTATATTTTTTTCTAATCAAACAGATAAAGTTTGAAACTTTGAAGGAGAACAGTAAATCCCAACAGAATAGTAAATAAATCTCCTGTCCTATTCTTTTTTTTCAATCGATTAATGTCAGATGATAACAATATATGCGGTTTAAATCATACCCAAATCTCCGGTCACTATTATTAGTGGCGAATTTTCGCAATTTTTAAACGCCTTAGGAAATAAGTATTGGGAAGATCGCGAGACAGCGCTAAACAAACAAAATTTTTTGGCTCCATCAAGCAAAGATAAAAAAGAATTGTTGAGTCCCAATATCAAATCGAACCTTTCAAAAGAAAAGAGCAAGAAAAAAGGAATAAGTATGTCCTGAAAATGTCTACAAATATATAATGCATAATTATGTCGAAATCTTTATTAAAGATTTGCATAGAATTTGCTCATGTAGACAAATGTATAAGATGTTTCAAGTATTATCAAACAAAAACATAATTTTAATAAGTATACATATAAGAGTAGACTAGTTTGCAGTTTTAAGATTAGTTAAATTTTCAAACCAAAAAAATTAGTTTCTTGTGACAATTAATTCAATATATTATTTTAATTATATATGAAAATGATATAATTTTAAATATAAATCTAAATCACAAGAAAGGCATAAAGATGAGCGATACGCAGATGTTGCTGCGCACCTTTCCAACAAAACTAAGTTTTCGTTGGAAAATAAACCGTGCACAAGGCACGTGTTATTCTCGGTGTACTACCAAGACTTAAAGCGGCGAATAGGCGTCACTTAGAGTATATATAAGTAGAGAAGGGTATAGAGTCGAAAGGTCTGAATAGCTCAGTTGGAAGAGCAGTCGCCCGGCAAGCGAAAGTTCTCGGGTTCGATTCCCGATTCAGCGACTTTCGGATCTATATTTTTCGCTCGCATTTATTTATTTATTTCCGTAAGGGGGGGGGTTAGGGGGTTTTTGAAATTAGATCTCAAGTATGAGATTATTTCAAACTTTAAGTCTTGGTAGTAGTACACCGAGAATAACAACACGTGCCTTGTGCATGGTTTATTTTCCAACGAAAACTTAGTTTCGTTGGAAAAATGTGTAGCAACATCCGCGTATGGCTCTTTACGCCTTTCTTGTGATTTAGATTTATATTTAATATTACAGAGCCGTAATTTAATCTTAGTTGGATATAATTTTAATTATTATTTTTAAAGAAAATGAATTTCGATTTGCCCCAGTTAACGGTATATATATTAACATTTTTATAAATTTTATTTTTTGAAATTTTACTTATTGAACTTATTCACACAGCATACAACTTTTATCATATGTATTATACATACAATTAATTGATCAATCAATTACGTTACGACAATTTAATTATCAAATTATTTTAGGAATTTAAATAGATACAGTAATAACAAGATAGATTGCAAAATAAAGATACATGAAGAGTGCTTAAAATCATAGAGTAAACACAACTGGAGTTTTACAAATTTTATTGCCTATAGGTTTATTTATTTGATGAACGATGTAAATATAAATGTTTCGCAAATTAAAAAAAAAATCGCAATATTTAAAATAAACTGCGATTTTTATCGAACATTAATATTCATGTAATACATATGTACTTCAGCTTTGTAAGAGAGAGAGAATTTAAAAGAAAGAAAACATATTAAGCATATATGTAAAATATAAAAGAATTTGATATTGCATGCTAAGTTTTACAAATATGTTCTTATAAAAATTTTTCTAGTAAAAGTTTTTAAATTTTTTTGAAAGACACTTTACATATACAAAATAATATTTAAAAATCGACACACACATATAATATAAAAGTTTTAAAATAAAGTTTGAAAATAAATAGTTTAAAAATATATTTAAAAATATGAAGTCAAACATATATGTAAATATAATAACTTTTCAGCCAAATAAATAAAATGTTAATTTTTGCAGATTATGTGATATAAAATTTATCTTAGAATCATCCTTGTATTTTAAGAATGATATTATCATCTGTATAGACAAACACACACACGCACACACACAACGGTTTAGATCTGGCGTTGAAAGAATTAAAATTGAAGTGATGAAATTGAAGTGACAAAAAACGTAGCATACCTGGATCAGGATATTAAAATGACATAAATTTTATATATATATGAGTCATTCCACGTCAAATCGGCCACCCCCCCCCTCCTCCATCCAAAATTGTATTAAAGTAAAGGACCCCGCCCGGTTCTTATGGAAAATGGGGTCCCGGTCAAATTGGCCCAACTTTTGATATGATGTAGATTTTGACTCATTGATTAAAAGTCTCAATGGTCATCAGGCCAAATAATGAATAGTTTTGGAGTTACAGCGGCTTTAATATCCAAAATTGACGCCGGACGACATCCGTCGTCCGGCGGTATAACGCGATGGTAGGCACTTGATATTTCATGTGTTTCATCCTTCTCAGAGTCTTCATTCATACTTTTATGTGTTGCACACTTACACATCTATATACACGAATATACATACACGCGCATACACACACATACGCGCGCGCGCACTGTTGGGTAGAGTGCGCGCGCGCGCGCGTGTATGTATATTTGTATATATAGGTGTGTAAGTGTGCAACACATAAAAGTATAAATGAAGACTCTGAGAAGGCTGAAACACACGAAATATCAAGTGCCTACCATCGCGTTATACCGCCGGACGACGGATATCGTCCGGCGTCAATTTTGGATATTAAAGCCGCTGTAACTCCAAAACTATTCATTATTTGGCCTGATGATCATTGAGACTTTTAATCAGTGAGTCAAAATCTACATCATATCAAAAGTTGGGCCAATTTGACCGGGACCCCATTTTCCATAAGAACCGGGCGGGGTCTTTTAACTTTCAAGGTACCAAAATTTAGCTTGAAGCATCTAGTTAACTTTTTATATGCCGTGGCAATTTTGAGAAATGTTAAATAATACCTTGGTTTTGTCAGTTATTTAAAAAATGGTATGTATTTTC